ATGCAGCGCGTGAGTAATTTTTTTTAAAAAACCAAACAAAAACAAGTAACTAATTCGTACCTATCGAGAGAAATGAAAACATTTTGATTTTCGTAAAATAACACGCACTTATCTCCATTATACAAACTGAAGTCTCCGCAAGTTGCGCGATTATTCTGATCATCCTTTAAATTTAAGGTCAATGCACAATCCAAGTCTAAAAGCGTTATGCAATCAGATCTGCGGTGATAATTACAACCAAAAAAGTTGGGGTATGAAAAAAAGAAATATATGTATACATATATCGACGAGTTTAAATATCTAAGAGTGGAATCGCGATTTAGCGCCGCCTCCCTCGCAACCAAGCGGAACGATAAATCGTACAAGACACTCGAATAGGCATACGTTATATATAACATATGCACGGCCGCCGCGCACCAAATACCATTTAAATGCACGTACGTACGTACAACGTAAAAGAAGTTTTTTTTAAAACGTAACTTGAAACATAGACCCATCAACATACATAAATTCGCATTCGCGATATGGTGGGTCCCACAAAACTCTTGCTGTATCATTGCGCATTCGACATAGCGAGAGAGATCCAAGTTCGCGCGCTATAAATACATATAAATATTCCCATAAATCACATTCAATGTACTATATATAACATTACATGCTCACTGACAGTTTTGGAAACCTTATCTCACGTTTTATATATATTATTATTATTCCGTTTGTAAGAGAAGAAAAGTCGCGTTGTCGTCCAAATTAGGAAATATAGAAAAAGAATTGTAAATGTACCATTAGATGCGCTAAGGCCTAAGGGTCCTGGTGTCATGTGAACTAACCATAAACTTTAGAAAATCCCATTAGTAAGAAAATAGATATCTATCCTTTTCTTACTAATGGGATTTTAGTTCACATGCCATCAGGGCCCATCTAGGTAAATTATAACTTTTCGGTAGTAAAAAAAACTGAAGAAAAAATTCTAATAGTAAAAAAAAACAAGAAAAAGTATTGAAACACTTTAATTATGAGAGTGAAATTCAACTAACTAACCTACATTATTAATAACAATAAATATTAATAATTAATTAATTTTACTGCGCTTTTGGTATAATTCTCCAAGGAGTATATATATATAGGATCAAGTTTAAATGTTGCCGCACTGTCAGCGTTTCGCATCTGCGCCTCTCACCTGCTGCTACCGTATGAGATCGTCCTACACAAAACTCGTACAACTCACATTCATCTTCGCTTCGTTCTTAATAAATAATCATTATTATTAGAGTACATATGTGCTTTCACGCGATTTAAGTATGGCGAATCACGTGGAGATTCATTCCTAGTGCGACGAACCGCTGTGACTGCAAGAAAAAAAAATCATTTTTTTTTTGCACCACGCAACATATGGTGACAATGATCTATTACCGTTTCTCTAACGCTACGATAGAGGTGCAAAAAAATTTATTTTTTTTTCATCCGGGTTACTGAACTTTTCAATTCTCGGTTATTATAACTATGGACATGGCAATTTCAAAACTGTTGAAAGTATAAGTATTATTTTTTATATAATTTTAGAGATAGAGAATTTTGGGGAAATTTCCGAATGTCAGCATTCGCAGCGTCATGTCAGTTGCTCTTGAGCATTTGCCAGAGTCGAATCTAAATTATTAGTAATACGAGATTTACATCACTTGGATTATTTCGTCAAAAATATATTAGTTTTTCTCACTTGTAAATTAGAAGGCGATAACAATTTTACTGCATCAATTTCTTATCAATCTGATTTGCTAATATTTCCAGAAATCACTACAAGAAAAAAAGACAATTTAAATAAAAATAAAATCCATAAACAAAAAAAACTATTTATCTATATTTCAAAAAAGGATTATCGATAATTTTTTTTTTCGACTAAAATCTTTCCATAAGATAAGAATCAACGAGATATTATCAGTACAAAAGAGCGCGTGCATAAAATATAATCGATATCGCGACTTTGTTTTTGTGGTGAAAAAAAAAAAAAAAATTAAAGAGAGAAAGAGAAAGATGGGTCGATCGTTAAGTGCATATTTTTCTCGCGTAAAAATATAAATACAGGCGCCTCGCGCGCTCGTGTTAATGCATAACCGGTACTTTAATGCGTCTATGATATGATAATGCAACATTTTCACATTCGATTATATGCATGTGGGTTCATGTATGATAATTTGGCGAAACAAAAGCCACATTGTCGATGGGAACATAAATTGAATCACTACCATCCCCCACCATCGGTGAATCTCTTTTCTCTCCACGCGCACTCGATTTCACTTCAATATTTTCTCCTCCCTCTGCCTCCTTCTATCAACCGACCGTAACGCCCACCGTTAAAGTGACTCTTTCGCTGACTGCGTTCTGCCTACATGACGCTTAAAATCTCTCTTCAATACACTGTTTTTGAAAAAAATAATACTTGTTGTAATTTTATGTTATCAACAATATAAGTGTGTGTGTGTGGGACCCTACAGAGTGTACCGACAATTTTTTAAATCCCCTTTCCCCCCTTTCCTTGTTCATTCATAACGCGTAAGTTATTCTACAAAGGGATTCTTTTATTGTTCATTGGTATGTATAACGTGTAGCAATGTCACGAGATATGGGATGTGAATTCTTTTTTTTTTTTTTTTGCTCCACGATTCGCTCCTCTTTTTTGTCATGTGTCATATTTATGTACATAAAATATGCTAATTTCTGTCATGCGTGCGGTGAAAAAAAATTATTACCAAAGTTTCCTTCTGACCCTGCACTCGAAAAATTGCTTTACAGTTATTTTCATTTTTTACGCACGGAATTTTTTTTATATTTTAAATTTCTTTCTTTTAGAAGTGAAACTGAAAATTAAATATGTTTGCTCTTAGATGCAAAATTAGGGGGAAATTGTTAATACGTTTTTATACAGATCTACAAAAAAAGATTTTCATAGTAGAAGATGAATAATTTTTAAAAATATGAAAAAATGCTGTTAATGCGTTTTTATACAGATCTACAAAAAAAAAGAAAAGATTTTCATAGTAGATGATGAATAATTTTTAAAACTATGAGGAGAATGCTGCTAATGCGTTTTTATACAGATCTACAAAAAAAAAAAAGATTTTCATAGTAGATGATGAATAATTTTTAAAACTATGAGGAAAATGCTGTTAATGCGTTTTTATACAGATCTACAAAAAAAAAGATTTAATAAAAAAATTTCCGGTGATAAAGAAAAATCAGCAGAAATAATTCTCAAGGTTTCAATTCAAATTATTTTCTGGAAATTTTAACTAAAATTCTTCTCTAATTCATTTATTTATATATATTTTTTTTTTTGAGAATGTTCCTGAGAAATTCAATTGTTTTAAAAAAAGTTTACCTGAAACAAAAATATTTCTAAAATTGAACTGAATAATTTTCTAAAAAACTATTTGTTCATCACTAATTTTTTTTCTAATTGTAAATTACTCCATTTATAACTAACATAATTACATCCTTTTGAAAGAAAAACATTTAAAGCCTACTATTTTAGTGTCAAATAATGCAAATATCTTTTTCCCTTACAAATAATTAATGATACGAAGCACACGCAACTTGAGAATCGATTGTATAATTATTAGATCATCAGAACAATAGTCTACATGAGGCTTTTCAGCAGATTAGTTATGTTGTTTTTTTGTAACTGCAATTTTTAATGATATTAGTGTTTGAATAATTTTTGCAGAGAGGACGAAAATTTTACACAAAAAAAATTGTAGGACTAATTAAAAACGTTAAAAAAACTAATTATAAAGAAAGTTCAGTAAACAAAAAAATTAAATGAAAAAAATTTACAAGTTATAGTTTAAAATACATAATTTACAATATGGTGGGGAAAATAAAAAAAATATTCAACTGGTCTCCAAAGGAAATTAGAGTTGCACTATTGCCATCGTTAGTGTTAAAATGTATTTTAGGTTGTGAAATTTTTGAATTTCCTCTACGACATCGTAGACCAATTTTAACATATATTTACACATTGACAATGATTTTATCACTTTCTTATCTTTTTTTCAATTCAGGATATGAAATGTGTAGTATTGATAATCAAATTGTGAAAATAGATCCTCGTACTATGGATTTTATTTATGGTTGTAATCAATTGGGTGGAATTGTTTCTGTGTTTATGACTTTAATGGTGAGCAAGGTAAACGAAAATTTTAGTATTTTATTAAATAATTATTTATAGTTCTAATTTGTAATGGAAAATAAAAGAAACTTGTTCAATATATATAATTATAGGAAGAAGAATTATGTCTGATTAGAATAGAATTATTCAACCGACATCTAGAGGGTTTTCAGTCTGCTAAAATTTATCGAAAATTATTTCATCATTCTATCATTTTAACTACAGCAAACTATTGTTTTTCATTTGCATTGATGTTTTTGCAATCACTGGCAATGGAGGGATTTTCCACTATTTGGGAGGTTTTATTATGCGGGATTTATTATCAATTGCCGATAATGATGCAGATGACTATCGATTTACATTTTGGAATACTTGTCAAGTAGGTGCTGACATTTCTTTTTTTTTTTGTCAATCCTCACCGGATTTAATTAATTAATTTTAATTAATTCAAAAATTATTCATCATCTAGTATATGAAGAAAGTTTTCTCATTTTTATTAATATTCTTAATACTATTTTTTTTACGATTTGTGACCTAAATAAGAATAAAAATATTATTCAGATCAATTGGATATTCTTTTAAGCAACTCAACAATAATCTAATATGGGTAAATAGATTCTCTTCCTTGCGTAATGAATTTCATGTGAAGCGTCAAAGTAGAAGTACATTTGATCTGGTACAACTAGTAAAGTATGTAGAACATTAATTGCATTTAAATATTTCATTTTCTTTAAATGTTTAAGTTTTTCTTTTAACGTAAGAATAACAATATTATACATTTGTTAATTTCTTTCCTTTTTAGATTACAGTATATGGAACTATCAAATATTGCACAAAGAATAACTAGCATATACAAGGTTCAAATTTTTATTTCGTTAATAGTAAATTTCCTATCAGAAATAGTTGCATTTTATGCAATGACCATAACATATATTCAAAAGGAAAAAACTTTAGAACTTACTGTTAATTATTACCAGCAAGAAAGTTTAATTTTGATTGCATTTTTCTCAAAAATAATGTACATCAGTAACTCATGTTACAATGTTACTTTAGAGGTAAAAGAAATGTTTTATAATTATTTCAAACTTTTTAAAATATTTTTAATATACATTATCTTTGCTAATTAAAAAGCATTTTTGAAACAAAGAGAAAATTTAATATTTTTAATAATAAAAACAGGCTGGTAAAACTAAGGAGCATCTTCTTTATTTAGTAAAAGATGTAAATTTGAACTCTGAGGTAAAATATTTTCTAAAAAAAAGAAATATTAATTATATTTTATATTATAGTAAAAAATTTCGATTATTGCAGATTAATGAATTTATTCAACAAATGGAACAATTTCCCGTTGTATTTTCAATTTGTGGATATCAATTAAGTCATCACATGATAACATGTGTGAGTGTAGATATATTTAAAATTAAATGTATTAACAATGTTAAAATTAAAAAATTTTAAATTCCTTGTAATAATGATTCAAACTTTCAGTTTATATTAGCAATTGCGGATATATTGACATTTGTATTGCAACTGTACCCCGTGAAACCATTGGATCCACAAGAATAGGATAAATAAAGGATATAGTTCAAAATATGATAAGAGCGTACTTTTCTCTTTGAATTTTAATTTTATAAACAGTCCCTCAAGTTAAATTTTGTTTTTTTCATTTCATTAAAAAAAGATAAATCCAAATTCATAATGAACTCGATTCATTGTTAACTAGCCTTAATGCTATTCATTCTCTTCTAGTAGAAGTAACTCTATTAACAGTTCGATAAGTTCATGCCTAACATGATTGTAAATTTTGTTGTCTCTTTAATTTATGGGAGTTTTACTTATCACTGTGAAATAAGTATGTAATAAAATAAATACTATGTTTATATTAATTTCAATAAAGATTGTTTAAATAAAGAATAAAATTCAATATTTTTGTAAGGTTAAGCCTAACCTTACAAAAATTTACATATTTTTATAATTGTTCTTTTGCTGCCTAAAATTACTTTACTATTCAGTGAATAAAAAAAATTACTTCTAAAAATAAACACAATAATATAAAAGAGATTTAACAAGTAGAAAAAAATTAGTTATGAATAAAGCAGTTATAACAGTTCTAAATTTATTGAAAAATGGTATTATTATTTGATGATGAATAATTATTGAAAGCGTGATGACACATGAGAAAAAAATTGTAAGTAGTATTTTAGTAGTTTACTAATTTTTTCTAATTTTTTTTAAAATTTTAATTTGTTTAATTTAGGTTAAACTTGACATATTTTTTAACCGACAGATCGAAATATTGGTCAAATTTGACCTATATTTTGACGTAGGGAAACTAATAAGGTTGCTTTTTTAACGTAAAGGTTAAAAAAAATCAGATTTAACCTAAATTTTGACCAGTAGGTTACAAATAGGTCAAAATTGACCTAAATTATTATTATTATTATTAATTTTTTAAATAATAATAATAATTCTTAAAGAACAAAATAAAACAGAAACTTAGTGAAAGATGAAATTTTTTCTGAAATATAATTAACTATCTTTTCATAACTACATGTAATAGTAATTTAGAATTACTCTCATTAGATATCATAATTATATCCTTTTAAAAGGAAAACACTTAAAACTTTTTATTGCATATGAGTGCAAACATTTATTTAAATTAGTCACGATATATAACACGCAACTTAAGAATCGATTTTATCTATAATTATATAGATATAATACGAATAATTCATTATATGAGTTGTCAATTAAAATTTTCTTTAAACAAACTTTTATTCTTTGTAATAATTTATTTTAAAATTTTCAATTTCTTGTAAGCAAATAAATAAATTTAAAGTGAAAAATTCATTTGAAATCAGTATTGTCAATAGAGGAGAAAATTAGTGACATGTCTGACGTATAAGAAAAATTTAATTCTTTAAATATTTTCAATGTAATGTCATTTTGAAGGGTTTTAAAAAAGGATATATGCGAAATTTAAAATAGCAATAAAATACAATTGCCCGTGTAAAATTTGTTGAATTAAAGATCGAGTAAATGTTTGGATTTGTATAAGAGAAAAACAGAGAGAGAAAGAGAAGAAAAGATCACGTTGAAATAGCACAGAGCGTGTGCGGGACACACAAGTAACGATAGAGACTCGTTGAGAATTTACGATCCAAAGGCCCATGGGTCTTTGCTAATCCGCGAAATTATATTTCAACTTTACTCGCGTACCGTGAGTATAAAAGCCGTCGTATTTTTCGCGATTAGTCCTCTTTCGTACGACTGATGCTAAGTTATGTATTTCCGGCGGACATCGAATCGAGTCAATCCACACAATTTTAGTCCCCTTTCCAATTTTTTTTTATTCAGGACGATTACACCTTTAGGATTATCTCCCACCCCCCTTTTTCTTTTTTTCTTGCTTAAACTACAATTGTTACTGCGCCTAGATATAAAAAATATTATAAGCATCCCGTGTGGAAAAGTGAGGTGGGCCCACGGTGGGTCCCAGGTGGGCTTCCCAGGTTCTAGGTGGGTCCCAGCAGGGATGGCCCAGGTGGGCGATTCCTTGGCTTGTAACGGTGAATCCAGCCACAGCCCACCTAGGAAAAATCCAGCTGGGGCTCATAGATTTAGTTTTCATTCAAATTAATGAATAAATTGTTTATTAATAACAAATAAGTCGAATTATAAATAAATAACGTTATTATTTAACGATTTTTACTTTTTTTAATGAAATTGTGACCAAAAGCAAATTCATAAATAATGTTAGCATATATGTGGGAATTAATATATATCCTTTCATTTATAAATTAAAAATTTATAAAAAAATTAGAAATTTGTTAATTAAATTATTAAACGGTATATATAATCACTAAATGGCATACTTATACGAATACAATGCAGAAAAATCGGAATAAACGCAAACCTAAGAAACAAATAAAATTTAACGCACGCGGGGATTGAACCTACGACCTACGGACTACTAGACTAACGCCCTAACCACTATACTACGGAGACTAACTACTGAACACCGACGTTTTATTGTCAGTGACTTGTTGATCTGCTGAAATGATTTAATAAAGCACTTACTGACACGAATACACCGTAACAAATAAATAGTTTAATAATAATAATAACAATATTATTAATGTAATAATAAACGATAAATATTCTTAAAATAATATTTATATTATTATGAAAAAAATATATCAATACATTTTTATTAAAAATGTGTTTTTTATTGTTTACAATCATTATAAACATTAATTTGTTGGTCTAAAAAAAAAAATTTTTTTTAGTTGTTTGGACTTAGAAATTTTTACTAATTAATTATGTGGACATTACATAAAAAAAATATTGTGAATACATTTTTGTTAAAAACACGTTTTTTCTTAATCTAAGTCATTATAAACATTAATTTTTTGTTGAAAAAAAAATTTTTAGGTTTGGACTTAGAAATTTTTGCTTATATAATTATTGATGTGGGTCCTCAAAAACTGGGAAGCCCAGGTAGGGCCCAGCTCACGCCCACTTATAATATTATTTCGCCTGACCGGAACCCACCGTGAGTGGGTCAATAGACAAACTCTAAAATGCTTCCGTAAAATGTTAACATGTTTGTCAATTGTCAATTCATGTACGAAGATGACCATAATTACATCAAAGTTTTATTATTAAATATTAAAGAAAAACTAAACTATTTAATAATTTTCACTCTAAACGATTTTTGTTATTATATATAATAAATTTTACTAATGTTATATTGCAGTCGTTATTGTTTAAATAAATAATTGTTGTTAATTAGTAACTCCTGACACTAGCTTCCAGAAAGATGCAGTTTTTTTCTAATGTTGCGATTAACTAATTCGAACCACATGAAATAAAAATAATTTAAGGTTTTAACAATTCAAAAATTGTTTAAACAAATGATTGTTGTTATTTACTAATTTTTGACACAAAGCACCTAAAAAATGCAGTTTCTTTTTAATTTTACATTTAACTAATCTGAAAAGTATGAAATAACAGTATTTTATGATTTAAACAGTTCAGAAATTGTTTAAACAAATAATTGTTATTATTTATTAACTTTTGATACAAACAATCCAGAAACTTGCAGTTTCTTTCTAATTTTACAATTACTACTACTCTGATTAACTAATTGCAAAATAAGAAAAAAACTTCATTTTTCTAGATGCTATGTGTCAAGAGATAGTAAATAACAACAATTATTTGTTTAAACATTTGATAAATTGTTAAAATTAAAATCATAAAACATCCGAATGATTTACTATTTACATTAGTTAATTGCAAAATTAGGAAAAAACTGCAAGTTTTTAAGTTATGTGTATCAAAAGTTAATAAAGAACAACAATAATTTGTTTAAACAATTTCTGAATTGTTAAAACCATAAATTGTCTTTATTTTATGTCGTTCGTATTACTTAATTGCAAAATTAGGAAAAAAATTGCAAGTTTCTAAGTTATGTGTATCAAAAGTTAATAAATAACAACAATCATTTGTTTAAACAATTATTAAAATGTATTAAAAACCGTTATACCTTGATGAGTTAATTATTAAATAAATAAATAAATTCAGCTGGAACAACTTTAAAATTTCGGTAAAACTAAATGTCTGTTAGTGTAGTACAATAAAAGTTTATAATTATTGACAATAATAAATTGTTTAAAATAATAATGATTATTATTATTATGAATTAATTGTAGAATGATTTATTGTGAATAGTTATATTTAATTTTCAGACTTTTTCTATTATAATGTTAATATTTTTATGAAAATGGGAAGCCCAGGTGGGGCCCAGCTGGCTCCCAGTTTTTAACTGGGCTAACTTGGGCAGATTTCCACACGGGATCTCTATCAATATATTAAAATTGTTATTATGAAAATTTACTTTTCGCATTGATTTTTAATTTTATTATCATTTGAATTCATTTACATTATTTATTCTTATTTAAATATTCTTTATTTAGATGGAAAATATGTTTTTTTAAATATAAATTTGCAATATTTTGTATCAACTCTATTTATGAACTATAGTCAGTAGTCAGTTGAACTGGTTTCATTGTTAACCAACCTTAAACGCTTTGTGTATTCTCTTCCTGTAGTGGCGACTCTATTGACATTTTGATAAGTTCGTGCCTCACTGCTATTTTTAATGCTTTTAATAAGAGAATCTTTGATTCTAAATTATCATAAAATATGTGAAATATGTGATTTTGCTCATTGGATTTATACTTATTATGATAGAATAAGATATTATAAATTTTTAAGTAAAATTTTTTTTTTGAAGTAAATTATTTAAAGTAATGAGGGAGAAAGTTTCCGAAACCTGATAAATCCAAATTTTGTCATTTCGAGAAATTAAAACAACTGAAAATTGAAAAATGGTATTATTATTTAATGATGAATAATTATTGAAAGAATAATAATATAATAATAATTTGCAACCTAATAGTGATTCTTTCTATAATTATGCTTTAGGGCGACAAAAATTAACTTTTAGTCTTCAATTTTTACGATAAGAAAAAAAATTGCCAAAGAAATAAATGTTTCAAACTGACAGCATATTAGCTGTATGTGGGGTACTTGTGAAAAAAATGGCTTAATCGTGCAGTAAATTAAA